ATCAGTGTTTCTAACCTTCACTTACACACATACACACACACACACACACACAATGCATCCTTCACACTGCTGCTAGAATATCTTATTTGCACAGATCTAGTGAAGTCATTCCTCTGCTCAAAGTTCTTCAGGGATTTCCAATAGCCTATCAAGTAGAATTCACACTTTTGCCATTTATTCAAGGCAAAATCTTACACCACAACTAACTTTCCCTGCCTTATCTCGTATTACTCCACTCTACACATTATTCTTGATTTCAGCCAAACTGGCTACTCAGTCTCCTGAACGCTCCCTGCATTTTCCAGCCTCCATGCCTTTGCTCATACTCTCTTCATCTATGGCTAGAATATCCTTTCTCTGTTCTGTCAAAAGACTTCCCAACCTAGCTTTTAAAGTCCAGCTCAAATGCTACTTCCCCCATGAAGCCTTCCCTGCCTATTCTTCTCCCCTCCTCCCCCATCAATAACAAACTTGCCATTCAGATCTCACATCCCACTCTATTTCACAATTTTCGACATTTATCATAGCATGTTGCACAGTCTAGTTTTTTCTGCTTGTGGCTCATTCCCATCTTGGATCATTACCACAAAATCATAGATTTAGAGCTGGAAGAGACCTCAGAATCCATCAACTCCAACTTTGTTTTACAATAAGGAAAGTGAGGCCCAGGGAGGTGAAATGACTTGCCCAAGGCCACACTGATAGTCAGGAGAGGGAGTGGGACTTAAAAATGGGGCCTGTAATTCCTTCACCCCATTGGGCACTTTCCTGGGCCAACTAGAGTTGCTACATTTGGGCTGCTAAGGAGGTAACCCCCAATAAGGGGTACTTTTGGAGATGGGCATGAGAGGAACAAAGACCTCAACCATTCCCATTGGCTTTATCCCTCACATCTAAGCAAATGCAATTCAATGATAAGCAATTGCTTCGCAGTAAGGCCCACAGTTTGTGAATGATGAATAAGACATTATTCTTGCCCTCAAGAAGCTTACAATCTAATGAATTCCAAATCTGTCTCCAAAAGTAGCCTCTTCCCTAAGTTCCAGTCCTTTATTTCCAAAGTCATTTAGATATTTTCCCAAATATCCAAAGCTGAGTTTATCATCTTTCTCAAATCAACTCTTCCTCCTGACTTCTCTATTTCCGTTAGTGCTGCATCATTTCATGTAGCCATCAAAAACTGAATCAGAGAATAATATTTGATTTCTCATTTTTATCTGTCCCCACCCTTCAAGTTCTAAATTCTGTAATTTCTTCCTTGGAAAAATCTCCCACATATATCCCTTCCTTTCCCTTTTCACTGCCATCATCTTAATCCTTAAGAGTGCCTTAAGAGTTCCTTGCAATAACATTGTAACTGGTTGTCCTACATCCATATGCTCTCCTCTCCTATCAACCCCGTACACTGTCAACAAATTAATCTTCCTCAAGCTACCTTGACCAAGTCACTACTGACCACACACACACACACACCCCTCACCTTGAATGCCTCAACACTGCCTACATGATAAAAGCTGAACATCTGTTTTTTTTCATCCTGTTATTCTTAGTCACTTATTGACTTAGTCCAATGAAGTCAAAACCATTTGTTAAGCACCTCCTATGCACCATGAAGAGCTGAAGGTAGCTAAATGGCTCCGTGGACTGAGCTGGGCCAGCGGTCAGAAAGATCTGAGTTCAAATCCAGCCTCAGACACTTAATAGCTATGTGACCTTGGGCAAGTCACTTAGCCTCTGTTTGACTTAATCTACCAGAGAAGGAAAGGGTAAACCACTCCAGTATCTTTGCCAAGAAAACCACCACGGACAGGACTGGCATGCTATGGTCCCCAGGTCACAAAGAGTTGGACAAGACTGAATGACTGAACAACAACATACCATGACCGTGCTAGGAACTGAGAAAACAAAGAAAGGCAAAAATAATCTGTGTAAGGCTCTGACAATCTAATGGGAAAGATAACATGCACACAACTATGTACAAATAATATACATACAAGATAAAATGGAGATAATATTAGAGGGAGGGCACTAGCATTTAGGTAGACTGAGAAAGGCTTCTTACAGAAGAAGGAATTTCAGCTGAGACTTGAAGGAAACCAGGAGGCAGAGATAAGGAAGGAGCAAATTCCAAGCATGGAGAACAGGCAGTGACAGACAGACGCAGAATAGGCACTTAGTTAACGCTTGTCAAATAAATAAATGACCTAGTATTACCCACACTATGACTCCAACCTGGTGTTTCTCTTCCCCTCCCAACTCCAGCTGCTCCTTCTCACCATATTGATTCCTCAGAGTTGCAAATGTCTTCTTGAAATTTTTATCTTACTTGATAATTATTTTGCAATGTTCTGCATACATGTTGTTTCCCCACAACAGAATGTAAGCTCCCTGAAGGAAGGAATTGTTTCATTTTTGTCTTTGTGCCCCTGCCGCACTTAATGGTTGCTGAATGAATTCCTTACAACTTCAAATGAGTCTTACACGTAACAGCAAAGTTTCTGACGAGTGTCTTACATTAATATATCTGGAGAGCTCTTTACATCCACTTAAGAGCTAAGATAGCTCTGAGATCAGATCTATCTTAAAAATACTAAATCATCAAGTTACTTTTCAGGGACTAAAAATTTCTTCCTTCTACAAGTTCTATAGGAAGGAATTAATGTAGGTACTTCCTGGCCAAAATCTTACCCTATCATTCCTCTAAAAATGCCTATTACAATGTCTAGAATAGATTGAACAGGCTACCATACCCTTCCCCATCCTCCACCCCCAATCAAACACAAGAGTAGCAAATGGGACCATTTGTTTGCGCGTTTCTCATAACTGCTTTGAGATTATAGGTGAGACAAAGGCCAGAGTCCTATCTAATTATATTCTAAGCTTGCTAGAGTTGTCTGACCTTTTTTCCAGAGCTATTAATTCTCCATGCTAGTGCTGTGCTCCCAGTCCAAATGCATTCACTCCCCAGGAGTTCAATGTCACAGAAACTTCTCAGGTAATGAAAATGACACCAACACTGATATGTTGCAAGGTTTAAAAAACATAAGAACAATGTCCAAAATACATGAAATCATATTGTTCTTAAAAGGAGGCTAATTCATAGTCAGTGATAGGGAAAGGGTATAAAGACTGCAGAACAGATGACCAAGTATCATTAGAAAAGTATCTTTCAGAATACAAGTTTACAAACTTTTATGACTAGCTTGGAGAACATTTAGTATAGCTATAACAATCTAGTTCTGTACAATTCTATTCTACTATTCACTTTATTGCCTGTGACTCAACATAGAAACACAGAAAAACAAATACCTGTGTCCTATCTCACAAAAGACATCTCAAAAGTTTCGAAACATGGAGCATTTGATCTTTATGGGCAACAACCCTCCAAGGCATAACATTTAGGACAGTGTAATCTTCCTAATATCACCAAATCAATAATAAAAGAAGCTCCCTGAATCTCCTATTGAAATTTCAATTCAAGACATCATTATTCTCAGCATTAATCAGATCCCCTAATTAGTCAGACATACTGTGTGGAACAGAACTGAACCTGAAAACACTGTTCATTTTACAGATGAAGAGGCAAACAGGGTTATGTGATTTGTCCAAAGATCCAGTCTCTGAGGTCAGCTAGGTGGGGCAATGGATAAGACCACTGGCCCTGTAGTTTGAACAACCTGAATTCAAATCTGGCCTCAGACACTTGAAACTTACTAGCTCTGTAACCCTGGGAAAGTTACTTAACCCAGATTGCTCCACCAAAAACATCCAATCCCTGCTCTCAAAAGTTAATGTTACTTTAGAAAATACAATGGCCTGCTATAAACCAAACAGGGTACTTCCTGCTTCTCTCCCACTTTTCCTCTTTTTTCGGCTGAAGACTAAGACTTCATCAATCCCAAACTCCAGCTCCCCACCTCTCCTTTCCACATACAAGGAGGACCCACTTAGGTATCTGTCCCCCAAAGATAATCAGTCAAGTCTCCCAGGACTCCTTGTCTCCAGATAAGACCTGCCCTCCCCTCAGCTGCCACCCATGTGACCTGTCTTCTCCCAGTTTCCACTCCAGATGTGACCTATTCTCCTCTTGGAGATGTGACTTACCCTGCGTCAGCTTCCCTCCTCCACAAGTGCTCTACCTCAACCCCCCCCCACACGTCATCTTATTCTCCCCCAGCTCCCTCTTTCACAAATGATCAGTCCACCCCCTTGGCTTTCCCTCTCCAGAGTCCCCCACTTCCAGATGTGG